ACTGCCCCATAGAGTTTCCAAGGAGTGCCTGGTGGATTTGAACTGCCAGCCTTTTGGTTAGCTGCCATAGCTCTTAACCACTATGCCACCAGGGTTTCCAACGCATCACTGAGGTATCAATAAATACCAAGACAGTATTAAAAAAAAAAAATCAAAATGACTACAGAAAATCATTCACATTTCCATGGAACACTAATAATTGCAGCTTTATTTCAAAACCTAATATATGAAAAAAACCCATGCGTGGCACAGAAACAGATCATGTACCCAACTTTACAGAAATGAGAGACTCCATCAGCCCAAATACAAGTAAGTGGTAGTGCAAGGAAGAGAACTCAGGGAGTCATGAGACTCTTAATTCCTTTGCTTATTTACTAAGCCACGTTGTTCCTTGTAGGTTTCCTTTTAACAATCATATTAAAAAACAAAACGCATCCCCGGATCTTCAAAAAATGTTCAATATGCAAATGTGGTGATATGCATTGGAATGATAAGGGCACACAATCTAAAGGCCAGATAAGCCAGGGCCACTGGAGCTCAATGGAATGCCCATGCAACGGCCATCATTGGCAGAATCCCAGACAGGCCAGAGGGCACCACCTCCCAGCAGCTCTGCTCCCATTTACCTAACACACCTGTCAGCCTGTGAGAAGGGTGCCTGGTGGCCATGGGGAAGACACATGCACTGACCTGGTTCTTTTCATGGACAGAACAGAAAGCACTGAGGAGGAGCCTAATGATGGGCAAGTGATTATAGCGCGCAGCAACGTGCAAACAGGTGTCGCCTGCCTGCGGACAGAAATCAAACCCTAAGCACCGTCTGAGCAGTTACAAAATGAAACAGAAAATAAAAAGATCATTTAAAAGCTGACAGACTATCATACATTATTTAGGGAATGTCAACCTGAATTATAAGAATCTCTGTTAACATAGGTACTCCACTCCCGGCCCTGGCTGCCGTGGCTGCTGCCTGCAGCCTTGCTCACTTTATGCTGTGCAGGGCAACCATGATGCCAACCCGAATCCCTGCATTTACATTTCACACAATCAATGCTTGTTCCCCATGAGACCTTCAGAAGAGCTAAGGCAGGCCCTGTTTACCCCACACTTGGATAAGGATCCACTGCCCCCACATACCCTATAAACCCAAAGGCTTTGGAGTAAACTGAATTAAGACTAATAGCACCGCTTTGGAAATGAGCCTTTCTCGTGACGGATCCATCACGGGCTGAAAGGACAGGGCAGCAGGGTGAGTTGTTGGATTTTAAGAGCATGTGTGTTCTAGAAAATTCAAGGAGCATTCCCGTATCAGTAGGACCCCAATATCCTATAAGGGGTGATGTAGCTTGGGGAGCTGATGAGGAAGCAATCACTGGAAGCAAAAAAGGACATTCAGAATAACTCAGGATCAGGATCTTCCTTAGCAGTCACGGACTGAACTCTGCTCACAGAATGACAACATCAAAATTGGGGACAGAAAGTCATGGCATACTGCGATGTTCTTTTGACATTTTATTATTTAGCCTTGCCTAGAGAATAGCAATCACTTAGCAGAAATTTCTCAACCTGGACTAAGAAGGAACCACGCTCAATGCTGAGGTTCAGGGCATTCTGTGAACCCCCTTAGATAATTGTGCCTCAAAACAGTGAGACCCTAGAGAAGGCCATTTTTAGGAGAAGCATCAGTCAAATTCTCTTGCCAAGATGGCCGAGGCATGGAGTTTATAAAGGAAATGCAGTTTCTTTGATGGGAACCGGGGTTGCAGGGGATGCTCATGTAACCTTTCAAGTTGGGTGTCTTCTAAGAACTACTGACTAATCAGCTTATCCCAAGGATACCTTAGTAGTCAATAAGACCTGGCCTTTATTATTGCTGGGTATGGGGGTACTAGAAAAACAGCATCATAAAGCTTCCCCTGTATTGCATCACCCAATATTTGCTAATAATACTACACTGTATGTGGGCAGGGTACTTTCTTAAAGCATTTTGAGGTTTCCTAGCCTGTAACTCATCAGACACACGCTGTAAGAAATGATAAAAGGAAGAGGTTGAGTAGCCAGGGAAAAGGACAGGAGAAAAGCAGTGTTTCCCAATTCGACTCCTCATGCCTCTAAACGACCCCTTAGGAAGCTAGTAAAAAATGAATAGTCCCCCAACACTTTTTATGCTTTAATTTAAAATTCCCATAATCAAGCATGCTTTCTAAGTTATTTTCTGAGGTGACACAACACAGAAAGTGAGAGAAGACGGTTTTGTTCACCCACATTATTTTTGAGGTCTGCGCGGGAGCCACCCAGCAGGAGGACACGCACGCTCTGGGCGTGGCTGTTCTGGCAGGCCAGGTGCAGAGCAGTGTTCCCCGCCTTGGAGAGAGGCAGAAAGAAGGAAGGACACGTTAGGGACTCGCTTCCCCACAGGCCTGCACAGGGCACGCCTTGCAGAGGGAAAAAACAGGCAACACTCACGTTCCCGGCTTCTAGATGGGCTGTCCCAGCTGGGGGGTGTTAGTGGAAAGAACATTTAATTTGGAATCCCAATAGGCAAAATAGTCACATTTGTCATAAAACCTTGGTTCCAAGTCCTTGCTCTGCTTCTTACTAGTTGCAAGCCACTGGGCAATGTTCTTAATATTCTCAGCCTTCAATTCCTTACCTGTAAAATGGAGCAGGAGTCCCTGGGTGATACAAACAGTTAACGTGCTTGGCTGTTTACCAAAATGTTGTAGGCTCAAGTCCACCCAGTGGTGCCTCAGAAGAAAGGCCTGGTGATTTACTTCTGGAAAATCAGCCATTGACAGTCCTATGGAATACAGTTCTACTCTGACACACATGGGTTTGCCATGATTTGGAATCAACTCAACTGTAACCTGTTAAAACGGAGCATGATCCCTATGTCCTGGGGCCATGAGGAGCGATTCAGTGTGCCTAGGAAAGCACTTTCTTAACTATAAAATGCTGTACACATGCATGGCCTTAGATTCCGCTTAGAGACGACTGCACCCTTCCTGGCCAACCTGGATAATATCTGTGGCTACAACACTCTACTCATGGTGAAGTGAAGAAACCAGAACAGGCCACTTCCTGTAAGTGTGGGGCTAATGTAACTGAAATTTAACTTGTAAGCCTTTATCAAATTGTCCATTCTTTTATTTTTCTTAAAACATCAAAATTTGAACCATGGACAAGGTGTCCCACATAACAGGCAATACAACAGCATCTGTCACTTACTATAAAGATAGAAACTCTCTTGCTTTTTTGGGCCTCTACCTGCAACATGGAAACCCTGGTGGCATAGTGGTTAAGTGCTACGGATGCTAACCAAAAGGTCGGCAGTTCAAATCCACCAGGCGCTCCTTGGAAACCCTATGGGGCAGTTCTACTCTGCTCTAGAGGGTCGCTATGAGTTGGAATCAACTCGATGGCAATGGGTTTTGGTTCACCTTCAACATGCCATGTCAGGATGACAACCAAGCGTCAGAATAATGTCCACAGCAATCTTGTCACAAGAACTGGGTGAAGTAACAGAACTTTTTGAGGCTATGGGAGTAGGGCCCGAACTGGAGTGGTAACAAGAAAAGCAAGCTCAGCATAGTCTAAAAAAAACTCTCATGGCCAGGCCTAGGGTAACCAGCTGTCCAGGTTTGTCCTGCACTGAAGGTTTTCCTGGAATGCAAGACTTTCCTGCTAATGCCGGGCCCCATCCAGCCATGTAAGTCTGAATCCCCAGAAGGGGTGCAGCTGTGCAGAGACATTTTTTTAAAACTTCCCTCAAGTGATTCTAACGTGCAGCCAAGGTTGAGAAACACTGGGCTCACTAACTCTCAGGCTTGTGCCTCTCCTCCAGGCTCTTGGAGGTAATAATGAGAAGAAAACTACCGGTTAGAGAGGCTGGTTAGACATAAGGTTATGAAAAGGGAGAGGTAAGTGAACTGGTGACATACAGTTTTCTTCTTCTTTTTTTTTTTTTTTAAAATACTTTTTCCTCTTTTCAAAAGGTCAGGAATCTAACATCCTGGAGTATCAGTGGACAGAGGGGAGTAAACTCGTGAGGGAAAAGCAATAAACAGGCAGTGTAATAGCTCTGGGCCCACACAGCTGCAGTCCTGACCCAGCTTTTAAGCTCAACAGAACAAACTCGGAGCTTATGTATCTAACCTCCTAAGTGCACACAGAACTCTCAGACTGACACCAAATCTCCTGTCGTGCCTCCTGCTTTTTTCTCACTGGAAGGGCTGGTTCCTGCAGCATCCTCTCGGCACTGCTCACAGCCTGTGCTGATGTTTATGGGTTAAAGGTTTCTCATGGTTCCCTCACCGGTTGAAAGCTTGAGGGAAAGAAGTGAACTATGCAGCTTAATATCTCCAATAATCAAATTTTTATAGCAGTTTTATTCAAAATTGCCACAAACTGGAAGCAGCCAAGATGTCCTTCAATAGGTGAATGGATACACAAACTGTGGTACATCCATATAATGGAATATTACTCAACAATAAAAAGAACTGAGCTATCAAGCCACAGGATGATATGAATAAATCTTAAATGCATATTGCAAAGTGAATGAAGACACCATGGAAAAGACAAAACTAAAGAGACAACAAAAAGATCAGTCTGTGCCAGGCGTTTAGGGGCAGGGGAGGGAACGTCCCCGGTCCCACACTCCCCGGCATGCCGGGCTGCCCCTATTCACTACAACTGGGCGCGTGTATGGTGGAGAAGATGGATGTCTGGGGCATAGCTTCCTAGGAGAGAAGGAGGTTGAGAAGCATCAAAGGCGCCCCCATGAGGCTCCCCTCCAGGCATACATGGCACACAGCAGAGTCACCATCAGGTTTATAGAGGGAGAGTGAAGGCCCCGAACACCTGTGGGGGGAGGGGTGGAGTGCTGGCTCCTGGCTGGTTCAGCACCTGCTACATACATACCACCTCACTGCAGGGCCTGGGAAACACTGAGCCTACCCTCATGGGATACCTCCAGTGGAGGAAGAAAGATGATGGAGAAAAACATGGGTGGTCAGCACGGCCTGGGGGTAAAGGTGGTGTTTGCACAAAGGCTGATGGCTCCCTGGGATAAGGGACATTCTAGGCATATGAGGCAGCAGGTGTAAAGGTCCTGAGGCAGGTGTGTGTGGAGTGGATAAGCAGGAAGAGTGGCCGAATGGCTGCAGACAAGGTCTGAGGCTGTTCAGGGCCAGGACGAGGAGTGTATCTCCCTGAGTGAGATGCAGCTGGCCGTTATTCAAAAAGCGGGGGAAAAAAATCTCCAGTAATGCCTGGCTCCTGCTTGGCAGGCTAGTGGCTGCTCCATCATTCATTCATTCATTCATTCAACAAATATTCTCTGAGCACCTAATGTATACTTCTTCAAAGTGGTACGCCATCTGGAACCAGAGTTGGTATGTAATTGCACTTTCTTTTTATACCTACTCTGAGAAGTAGGAGATTCCCAGTAAATGTCCTTCATGAGGACAAGGATGGCTTGCTTATCTAAACTCCTTAATACACCAGCGGAAAAGCAGTAAGAGCTGAGAGAGCTCAAAGAAAGTCAAAGGCACTGGAGTTGGTTCTCTCACTCAATATGTAGATTACGTGTTCACGAAGGAGTTTCATGCTTTCTTTTCTATCTCTGTAAACATGTGAGGTCCAGAGAAGTCATTAAATTGATGGAGTCTATATCTGATAAGTTGGGTTAATACTGGATCTTTAGCCTGATGTTGCTGAAGATCTTGGTGTAGATGTGGATGTATGTATCCTTAGCTAGAGATACTATAGTTTCGGATCCTAGTTTGCCATGAAATTCTACACACGCAGTTTTGCGTGTGTGTGTGTGTGTGTTAGGGAGGCTACTGCTGCCCATGCTCCCATGCTGCTGCCACATACAGCCCCAGTCTAACACACCTGATTCATTCCTCAGTCACCGCCCAAAGATGCCAACTGCATTGTGGGAAATCTTCAGGCCCCTTCAAAACATTGGCACATATCCAGGATGGGCATCCAACGAGAGAAAAGGGGATGAGCCTCTTTATGATGCCCTTCTCACAACTAATACAAATATCCCAAGAGTATTGATAATACTTCTTTTAAAAATAAAATATACATTTTTCCCAATTGTAAAAGAAATAATGATTTTGGAAATGTGGAAAAGGCACAAAAGTTAAACAGAACTAAAAATCAATCAGTCTCAATTCCCAGAGATAATCACTATGAGCATTTTGGTGGATATCCTTCCAGGCTTTAATTTTTTAATGTATATGCATTTATAGTAAGCATTGGGACATGCAGTACATATGATTTTGTTTCCCTTTGTCATATTTTTTTACTAAATCATGAGCACTATCTCCAAAACTATAATTTTAATGACTTCATTGTATTCCATTATATCAATGAACCGTAATTTTAAATCCCTCCATTTTTTTTTCACTCCTGTAACTGTTGCTGCCATGAAAATTCTTATGGGTGAATTCTTATCAGCATCTTTTTTATTGCTTTTTTAAGAATAAACTCCTAGAAGGGTAGTTACTGGGTGAAAAGCTAGGATCAGTTGTAGGGCTCTTGATTTGTTCAGCCAAATTGCCTTCCACACGTGGGTGTTCCAATTCACACTTTCCCCAGGGGGTTCTGAGTGGGCCCATTTCACCACACTCTTGCAAGTATTGGGCATACCCTTTTTTAAAGTTCTTTTGCTCATTTTTTAAATGCCAACTCTTTACTGCTGTATTTTTCTTTAATAGTGTCAAGATGACGGGGACATAATCTAATGTATGTTTCCAGTGGCAGCCGTGCCTCTCACATAATCAGCAGGGTTTACCGCTGTTGAGGGCTTGTTTTCTGACCTGGAATACTAATCCCATTCTAGCCTCCACAAATGAAACTTTTGGGTGCCCCTCTGAGCTCTCACTGCTCACCGAGAGGAGGCTCCCACAGGGAAAAGATATCAGTCACAGCCACCCTCACCTTGTGAACAAGGAGTTCTAGCACCTGCCGGGCCTTACCTTGTTCCTGGCAAGCATGTTGGCTCCGGCCTTAATGAGCAGCTTCGCTGACTGGCTGAATCCATGCCAGGACGCTTCGTGCAGGGCCGTATTACCGTCCTAAGGAACACCCACAGGGAGAGAAAGCATATTACCCAAGACCTAACTCGTCTCATTATATTCTCCAAAGGATCTGGAAAATTATCTTCCTCTTCTCTTAGGTCCATTAAAGTGTATTTTCAGGGTACACTACAGGGTCTTTCTCAACTGGGGTTCCTCATCTGAACCAGAGAATACAAAAAATTATTTGAGTGACTGTTTTCTCAATTCTCCCAGAAATGGTGCTATCCTAGAGGCTTAGAAATGAGTTCATGACGTACAATGGATGCCTTAGGGCATTAGGGATTAAATCTCTCCCTGGGAACCCCAGTTGAGAAAGGCTCCAGGGCCATCCAAAGCTCACAGTTAACAGAAAGAATAAGGTCCATTCTTTCCCACCTCTATAGCCCCTCGGGGTCTGTTCTGCTCCTGGCATCAGAGAGAACCCTGCAGAGACTAGGCAAATGAAGAGCCCAGCTTTGTAAGTCCCAGGGGCCTGATAGGTAGATTTTCCCTCCTTTTCCTCCCCAAAATTTAATCTCACCCAGTTTGATCCAAAAGCCTCAGGGCCCCAAACAAATGAGCAAGCACTGAGGAAACAGTGATTTGTAAATAAGATAAGCAAGTGTCCTCGATATTCAGCTTTTAAATGAAAACCAGCCAATTAGCAAACAGCTTTTATTAGCTTAAAAGTACTATGAAAAAGAAATGTTGGTGGGGCGAGAGCTGAGTGAGGTGGGGCCAGGAAGTTAGGAGTTATCAGGAGGGAAAAGGGTGGAGATAGGTAGGATGGCCTCCACGCTGTTCCTAGGTCAGCCAGTTGTGGGTAGTGCAGAGGTTTTTTGTTGTTAGGTGCCATTGAGTCAGAGGTATGCACAAATTATGTCACGGCTCTGGCTTAGACCTTTATTCTAACCACACTTGTGTTGTGTCCCCTGGAAATAGTTAGAAAATGCACAAAAGAGACAAGGCCTAATACTGCTGACACCCACAGAAGGAGGCCTGGGCTCCCAGCAGACATGGTAGCTGCACACACCAGCAGCTAGGGTGCGGGGTGATGCTGCTGCCGGGATGGTAGTGGCATGTGTGGCATGGGCAGTGGAAGTGACTGCACAACACAGGAAGTAGGAAGCAAAAGGAAATACAGGTGGTGAATGGAAGGGGCCATCTGGCAATGATCTGCTTCTTGATCTGCGTGCTGGTCACACAGGTGTGCTCAGGCAGGGAAAACTCATGGAGCTGTACACTTATTTGTGCACCCTTCTGTATGCATATTATAGTTCAATGAAAAGTTGGTTTAAAAAAAATGCAAACGGAGAGTCTGGAGGCACAGCTCTTTCTCCCACTCCCATTCAGGCCTCCACAAATCATTATTTCCAGATTTTTTTTTTTTTTTTTTTACTATTAATGGTTTATATGGTTGCCACTGATGCCACAAAAACAGGGGGAAGGATTAAAAACTACAATTTGCTAGGACACCAGGTATCCTTTTCAAAGGAAATTCAGTCTGATTTCATCATGTTAAATCATGAATGATAAGACCTAGGAGTGGTAACATCTTGAGTACCAGTGTTTCTTTCCAAATTGGAGACTTCCAGCTCCCCTGCGATTGCTTGCATGCCCAGCTGGAGTTGCAGTGTGGAAAGGAGCCACGCCCCCCTTTACCTTGTCCTGTCTGTCCAAAGCACAGCCCTCCTGGATGAGTGCGGAGATGATCTCGGTGTTCCCCACCACCGTGGCCCGGTGCAGGGCAGTCTGGTCCCCCTGCATGTGACATAAAGGCAGGAACTCACGGTCAGTACTCCCCACCAGACTCCACACCACTTCTCCAATCTGACACATCTCCTGTCCCCACAGAGCAGACTGATGACACCAAAGAAGGACGTGGTTACCACAGGTGAGGCGGGCTTTGTGGTCTAGTTGGTAGACAATGCACACATCCTGGCCTGACTGCGAACTCAATCACAAGAACAGCCCCCGGCTGCAGAGCCAGCCTTAGCAGGATGGGAATGTCATATCTAAGAAGATAAGGTCTGAAAGCTGTACCAGGTGTGCTAAATAATTAAACCAGTAATGCCTGCAATGTCTAGGACACACTGGGCCCTCTAGCTCCCTGCCTCCAGAGCAATCACCATTCAGCTATGTCAATTAGTAGCATCCACGATTTGATGACGGGTGTACAATTTGTTGACTTGATGTATACTAGCCAAGAGCAACACAGGGTTTTACTCTTATTTCATCTGAGAACCCCAGGGACTGCAAGGCCCAAAGCCATCCACATCCACAGCCCCTCCTATCACTGTATACATCTAATCAGCCTCTTCTGATATTTCACAATATCCTCACTGATTTGTGCTGCATTTGACCCCCTTCTCTGTGGTTAGATTCCTGGGATTGCCAACTGTCGTCTCTTTCTTGCTCGTGATACCTAAGGGAACCTGACTCTTTCCCCTAATTACAGTTGAGAGGACTAAACACCCCCAGAGGCAAGAAGGTCAGGACTGTCACAGGAGAGTTCTGCAGTCTCTAAGAGCACGCTTTATCTCTGACATGTACTCAGAAAGTCAAGCCGAGGCAAATCAAATCAAGCCATCCGTATCAGTCCAGGAAACCCTGGTGGCATAGTGGTTAAGAGCTGCAGCTGCTAACCAAAAGGCGGCAGTTCAAATCCACCAAGCGCTCCTTGGAAACTCTATGGGGCAGTTCTACTCTGTCCTATAGGGCCACTATGAATCAGAATCAACAAACCGCAACAGGTTTGTTTGTGTTTTTTGTTATATCAGTCCAGACTCAAATGGAGAGATGGGTGAACACTGTGGAAATTCCTGGTAGACAGGAATGAGCACAGGGCAGGGACAGGGTCAGAAGACCTGGGTGTGGTCCTAACTCACACAGTGAGTGGTGCAGAGCCTTGGAAGGGAACTGTCACCTCGCTAGACCTCAGGTTCTTCAGCTGTGAAAGGAAAAGGATGGTCCTCAAAGTCTCTCCTTTCCCCATCCGAGATTCTATGATTTGGTTGCTAAGAGTTTCATATAAATGAAGTTTTCAGGCAGAGCAACGGAGGGGCAAAGTACACACTCTGAGGCATTCGTGGTGCTTAGCTTGAGAGAAGAGAGGAACACTATTCCAAGACAGAAAACATGGGAATTTTTTAAAGAGGGATGCACTGTTACCTATAAATAACCATAATGAAATACTGATCCTATTTACTAAACTCCCTGGAATCTAAAGCAATCAATAATGCGCGTTAAAAGCATTTAAATTCTAGTTAAAATCCAAACTCACTATATTAAAATTAAAAAGGTATCCCTTTACAAATCCATGAGGGGAAGTGATTTTTATTTTTTTCCTGATACCTTTTAATATTTTCCAATTTTTTATATTTCGCACATGTAACTTATAGTATCAGGAAAAAAACTGCTACTTATTAAAAGTATAAGCCATAACAATATGGCAATAATGGTACTGTCCAAGTCTCAGAATCTCTTGTCACTGTTCATTAATATAATTTAAGGGATTTCCACAGTGATAGGGTCAGGACCTCCACACCCCATTACCACAATCTCATCCACTGTCCTCAGCATTTCCACTACCGATCCTTCCCCTGGCATCCTAAGCTATTATTCCCATTGCAAACCAAGCTTAGACCTGATTCTCTTCTCGTCCACTTTCTCAAACCCCTTATTAAAACAAGACCCTTCCTGTGTGCTATGTGGTCAAAAGAAGAACATGGACACTGGGTCAGTGGCTGCAGGAGGTATGCCATGCCATTATGTGATCCATTTCAAACGCCTTGGGAAGTATTTCCAGACGAGGCATACTTAATGCCTAAACAAGTAATTATATGAGAAACTTCCCAAGTCTTCATTTTTCAAAACTTCTATAAAAATTTCTAAGACTTCCCATTTCCCCGCCAGAATGGTGATGGATTTTCCCGAAACTGACCTCAAATGCAACTTACTTCCTGGCCTGATGAGAAAGAGGGCGCTCTGCTCTCAGTAAGATTGCAGCATGCTCTTTCGAGGTAAATACTGACTTGATCAGATTTCTATTTGCTGTTGTTGTTAGCTGTCACTGAATCGGCCACCCAACTCATGACAACCCCATGCAAAACGAGATCGGATATAGTATTTTCATTGGTTAATTTTCAGAAGTAGGTAGCCAGGCCTTTTTTCCTAGTCTGTCTTAGCCTGGAAGCTCCACTGAAACTTGTTCAACACCAGAGCAACAGTCAAGCCTCCACTCACTGACAGAGGGGTGGTGGCTGCACATGAGGTGCATTGGGCAGGAATCAAACCTGGGTCTACCGCATTGAAGGTGAGAGTTCTACCACTGAACAATCACTGCCTCTTCCATTTGGTAGAGGCCTTTTAATATTCCCACAGACTGCCAGTATCTAACTAGTACTCCTTGGAACAATCAGAACAACCTTTTTACATAGTGAAACTGGTGAGCGACAACCCCTGAACACACGGGGAGAGTCAGCAACTCTTGCTTAGAAACCATTGTACAAAGGGCTTGTGCTGTTAGGACACAGTCTAACCTAAGCCTTGGGTTAGCTTAAATGTTGTATCTGTTTCACAAGCTGCCCTCTAAATCATGAGTCGAGGCCACTTTGGAGCTGGAATGGCACGGTTATTTATCATTACTCGTTTTCATCATGAAACTACTGTATTTGCTTCCCTCAAGATAACCTTCCTTTGTGAAATTCTAGCTCAATGTAAGAAGCTAAACCTAACTTTCAGTTCAGTCTTCAGGAGTAAATTTCTAGATGGATTAATAAGACTCAAGGAGAGCTAAAGACTCGTGTCAGGTGTGTGAGGTGTGTGACTTGTGTGAGGAGGTGTGGTGTCATTATGTGACCCATTTCAAACATCTTAGGAAGTATTTCCAGATGAGGCATACTTAATGCTTAAAAAGTAATTATATGAGAAACTACCCAAGTCTTAATTTTTTAAAACTTCTATAAGAATTTCCAAGACTTCACATTTCCCTACCAGAATGGTGATGGAGTTTCCAGAAATTGACCTCAAATTGAACACAAATTGTCCTAAGCCAATTGGGACACAGGTCTCCTCCAGTTCCCCTTTCTCAGTGGACATCTTTTAACCACATTGCCTGTCTTCAGTCCACAACACCCCCTTCGTCTTTACTGACCTCAGACAGAGACCTCACTCCAGAGCGAGGGTCCTGCATCATCAGTCAGGAAACACTGCTGTTCAGGCCACAGTCAGCCTTCCCCACCATGCAGCTGCCCTTCAGTGAGTCACTAGCTTTGTTTACACTAGATGGATGGTTCTAGAGGATTGAGTGATAGAGTTTCTCTGGTGTATGAAAATCAGGTACTCTTAACTTAACAAGATGAGAATTAAAGGGTCAGAGAGACATGAAATACATAAATAAAGGGCTACCTCAGGTTATCTCCGAGATACACTTCCCCAGAGCACACAACAACATTTAACACCCTCTATGGAAACACGGTCATTTACCTGCAAATCAACTCTTTCCTCCTATAAAACTAAAACTTACTGTTGAAACATTTCCTCTTTGAAATCTCACTCAGAAAAGAATAAAATGTGCCCTCAAGCAGCAACTTTGACATAATCCTTATTCCTATATGACTTAAATCAACCATGAAACTCTGAAAATAAAATGCTGGGAAGAGTGCAGTACTCTCAAAAGCATTCTCTGATTATTTATTCAATAAATATTTATTGAACCCCTACTATGAGTCCCTGGGTAATGTAAACGGTTAATGTGCTTGGCTGCTAACTGAAGGTTGGACGTTTGAGCCTACCCAGAGGTGCCTCGGAAGATATGGCAATCTACTTCTGAAAAATCAGCCACTGAAAATACTTTGGGACACAGCTCTACTCTGATACACATGGGGTTGCCATGAGTCAGAGTCGACAGCAAAGGGTTTGGGGTTTTCTGCTTTACTGTATGTCAAGTGCTAAGGCATCTTATTCTCTGATTTTATTGATAAGAAAACTAAGACCCCGCATAGTTCAGGGCCTAGCCTAGGACAGATAGCCAGCTAATTCATGGTGGCATGTTGGGGCCAGAATCTAAATTGTCAAGGCTCTTTGCACTCACCCCAAGTTGTTTCCAACTTGTGAAGTCAATTAGCCTTAAAAAAGATCAGGTGTCTCTGAGGATTAAGGCTGCCTCTTTAGGGAGTCATCAAGCTAAGTGCTTACTTAGTACAATATCTCGGCCTCCATAGGCACTCAAGAAGTATCTGTTGAGTGATTGATTAACTACAAAGAAGCAGAAGGAAAAATGCTACAGCTGGAAACTTGGAGAGCCAGCAACCCTGCAGTTTGGCACTTTGATTTGGAACATGCTGACCCGTTTGCAAAGTACATGAGTTAAAGCCTTCAATTTTTCTGAGACATAAGTGTTTCTCACTTTGGGATTTTAAGAGGTTTGGCACTTCTGAGGTCTAAATCTTTGTTTTGAAATATAGTCATCCCTCAGTATCCGAGGGCGATTGGTTCCAGGACTCCCTGCAGATACGAAAATCTGCAGATGCTCAAGTCCCTTATATAAAATGGCATAGTATTTGCATATAACCTACGCACAACCTCCTGTATGTATACTTTAAATTATCTCTAGGTTCCTTATAAGAACTAATACCATGTAAATGCTATGTAAATAGCTGTTATACTGTATTGTTTAGGGAATAATGACAAGACTCGAGGTGAACAATGCTCAAACAATGCTACTGCAGAGAGACTGAGGATCTGTGAAATGGTGGAAG